CTTTTGCGGCTCAAAAAGGTACCCTTTACTGTTGATTTGCATGTTCCTCAAATATTTATTTATTCTTAGAAATTATTTCTAATTCTTGTAACTATGTAACATTTTTCAACTTTCTGTTCTTTAATGATAGTAATGTACTGCATCTGAATTTAATGGTTGTGGGAGCATATTGTGATGTAGAGTACTTCTCTTCTTATATCTTAAAACCAAATAGACAAACCTACTAGAACATTTCTGCAGAAGGGTTGAAGCCAGTCTGAACTTCCTCCCATAAAGATTCAGAGCTCCGATACAATCTTTTTAAAGAAGAGTTCATGTTCACTCTGCGCTCTGAGAGTAACACTCGCTGAAAGGTGATGTAAAAACTGGACAAGAAGTGTAAAAACTGAAAATAAGAAAAGTTTTGTAAGTTTTACACTGCTCCAGGGCGGCATGGCGTATCAGTTAGAGGTCATAAGATTTCCTTCTGCCTTTCTGTGAGGAGGTTGCATGTTGGCACACTTTGGTTTCCTCCCTCATGCCAAAAATATGCAAGTTAGGTTAACTGAGGACTGTAAATAGTCCTGAGGTGTGAGTGAGACAGAATGGTTGTTTGTCTCCTTTGTCTCTGTGATGGACTTGTGACCTGTCCATGGTGTCCCTCCGCCTCTCCTAGACTTTGTCATTTACATCATGTTAATGAGGTGGAATGAAACTATAGACTCACGATTTGATTAACCCAAAGAACAGTGTAATAAGGGCTTGACGTACGGTAGGCGACGTCACTCGCTCTCCATTCGTTTCCTATGGAAGTTGTGCGAAGAGGCGACAATCGCTCGCCCTCCTCCAGCCAAGCGACCAGCGAAAATTGTGCTTGTACACTGAAATGTTGTGCTTGTACACTGAAATGTTGTGCTTGTACACGTAGACGTGCACACGCGAGCTTGCAACGCGACATATGAAAGAAGGAAAAATGTTCAACTTTTGTTGCTGACACACGGCGTTACAACCAATCTGCGAGGGTTTCATTGACTGACCAATGAATAGAGAGTATTTTTCCTCAAAATACATTGGCGTGCTTGTGTTTTTCAACATCATTAGCATCACAAGATTTGTTCAGTTCACACGTCCATAATGCACACACACCACTTTTATTACCTCCGCCAAGGGCGAGAGGTAATGTTTTCGGTCACGTCTGTCTGTCTGTCTGTCTGTCTGTCTGTCTGTCTGTCTGTCTGTCTGTCTGTCTGTGGAAAACATTACTCAAAAACTTGTGGACTGATTGTCATGACATTTTCATGTGGGTACTGGGCCAAGGAACACACCTTTAAATTTTGGTGATGTTCTGGATCACAATACGGATACAGGATTTTTTTTTCTTTTAACACTCTGAGATCGGCAAAGCTGTGATGCTTTCACAGGGCTTCTGTAAAAAACAGTGAGCTGGATTGGACAGCACGGACTTCAAACTTTATAAAAGTAATGTTAAAACCACATTTAGGGCCTAATGATTAATAATTTTTGCTATAATATGCACATTTACAGAACGTTTTGTGACCAGGAGGTGCGTGACTGCACCATGAAACCTATTTTTCCCATTTCCTCAAACACACCACATTTCCCAAACAACCAATTACAACAGTTTCTCACTACTAGGCTAGTAAACAGAGAGCTGCCGGGCCTCAAAGTTTGGAGACGGGGAGCCAGGAAGCACTTTATAAAGAGAGTCAAACCATTACAAACTCACACAAGGGGATAAAACAGACGTTTTACATGGTGAAATGTGACTGATGAAAACTTAGGAGCTTAATCCGACACCATTGACGATGAATAATGTCGGGTGACGAGTCTGATTTTATGTATATTTTTTTCACATTGGACTCCACCGGGAAGAAATCCCATACATACTGCCTGCTGAAATGTTTGCTACGTCAGAACTTATTTGGCAAATGTGTTTCCATCTCTGCTTTTGTGCATTAACTCTTAAAGGATGGGGGAAATGGTCTTTGTTATGGCAATATTTATTTAACAACAGAGACAGAAATTCGTGGTCCAAGAATGAAGGTACTCCGTGAGATGATCAGCTGAGTTTTATTGCAACAGCAGGAAACACAGAGAACAACCTGGCCTGTCTCTGTGCCTCTGCTTCTCTCTGTCACTGTCTCTCCACACTACTGTTGAACTCTGTGTCTAGAGAGCCCTCATATATATATATATTAACAAACACCATTATGCCATCTTAGCAAGATTTGATACAAGGTCAATGGAAAACACAAAGATAAACACAAGTGATATCTAAGAATGACTGTTGTTAGCAAATCTTGTTCTGACTTTAATCGTTCTATCTGTAGATGAACAGCATGCCATGAAAATCTAGGTCATTAAAGGATGTCATGAATTACTTGCTTAAACATAAAAGTATTAGTTCTATTACACTCCCCCATCTGATCATTAAATCACCAATTAAATGATCAATAAAACAAAACAAAAAAAAAACTCTTTAATGCATTTTAAATAAACATGTCAACATAAACCTAAGTTTATGCACTTTTCTAAAATCCCAACCCCAGTAATTCAATTTTTATTCCTCCCACAGTAATTACTAACCCCAAAACTTAGTTATCACACAAAAGTCTTTGGATCATCTTGAACACAAACAGGATTGTCTGTTTTGATGTGTCGAAGGGTCAGAGGTGGTGGTGGGGCTCTATGACTTTTTGTAGATCTTGGTTTAGTGCGAGGGGCTGGAAGAGGAGGGTTACGTGGATTTGGACATGGTGTTTGTTTGATCTTAATCTCGCCAGGTTCTTCCATGTTGTTAGTAAAATCCAGGAGTGGGCATCCCACTTGCTGTCCTGTTGGGGTCTCAGAGTCCAAGAGATCCTCTGTTTGTGATGCTGGTTCTGCAGGTTGAAGTAACTCCTCTCTCTCTGGTTCTGATTCTGAAGCAGTCTCCTTATCAGTAACTGGCATGCTGTGTTCCACTGATATCTCAGTTTTCTCCAGCTGTCATTCAGACATCAGCTGTTGTGGTTTACCTGTAGCCGGAACTTTGGGAGGGTTTTAAGAAGCCCCTTCATTTCATCCTCACGCTTCAGCTGTGTATCTTCAATAGCTTTAGCCATTACATTTTTAGATGAATCTGCCTCATGTTTTCTTTTCACCGCTGCTGTGTGAGAAACGCCATCGCAGTGGCGACGCAAAGTTGACGTTTTATAGCATCGGCTAATAAAAGGCACAGCACCGTACATTTTACAAATTGAGCAGCTCATTTCACCTTTGTTATATTCAAGCCAGGGATATAATCTGAGCCAGTTAGTTTGAAACTTATCTTTCGGCTGTTTAGTAACGTTGTCGCCACTGACGTTACCTGGAGGATCCAGAGGCTTTGGGTCAGTCCCGGCGACATCAGTGATATCAGCGACGCTTCCAGCTTCGGTTCTAACTTGTGATGTTTTTTTTTTTTTTGGGAGCAGGTTCCTCTTCAGTTGATGTAACAGTAGAATTACGTTTTAGCCAGCGATCCATGTTTAGGTTTCCGTCCCGAATCATTGAATCCAACAACCGCGCTGTATCGTTACCCAACCAGGAAGTGAAGAAGACGAAAAAAGCACGCGTCCATGCGTGCCAAGTTTGTAGCGGAAGTGTCCGTCTTTGTCATAAGTCTGATGTAAACGTCCATGTAAACTTTACTCTAATATTGTATGCGGGAATTTCCCGCATTATAAAAACTAAATTTGCGGGAATCAATCAAATAATGCGCAATACCCGCAATCCCGCAGCAAATTTCAGGCCCTGTACACTAAACTTCTTGTTTCTGGTTGATTTAAATGTATTTATGGGACTTGAAATTCATTGTTTTTACTTGTTGTTGGGATATTTGTGTGGTTAGAGTTGTACTTCCTAACTATCCTTCATGAAGTGAGGTGTTTTCAGCTCACGTGTGCTGGTCTCACTCTCTGACCCGGGTGCTGTGCTGCTGCTCCTGCAGATGCTGGAGAGCCAGGTGGACGTGCGTCAGAAGGAGGTGGAGGAGCTGCAGAAACAGTCCCAAGCCCTCAGCCAGGAGGGGAAAGGCTCGGACGAGGTGGACGGCCAGAGGATCAGCGTGGAGAAGAAGTTCCACGGCCTCCAGGCACCGCTGCAGAAGAGGCGGGAGAACCTGATGGCCTCTCGCGAGATCCACCAGTTCAACAGAGACGTGGAGGATGAGATTGTAAGTTTATTCTGGGAGAAACCTCATGTTTTACAAGAATGACTTTCACTTGTTGACAAAAAGAAATGAAAGAGGAACAAAAATTAGAAGTAATGATGAGGAGTTACTACTTTTCCTCTTTTTATGCTGCATAGTTACAGTAAACTGTCCTGTTCTCATATTGCAAACAATCCCAAATTCTGCCACAATAATTGAAACTGTATTAAAGGCTTAGAATTTCATGTAAGAAATCATATCCCTCACTTATTTCATCATGAAACCATCTTTCTACGTAAAAAAATAAAATAAAAATGGCTACAGGAGCTCTCATAAAATCGTAGTTTTTACAGCACGTGGTGGAGATAACTTTTAGCTACAATCACACCAAATTTCATCTAATACCTGTAAACATATGGAGTTTTATCCACTTTTGTGTTTGCTAAGGCTGACTAGCTGTGGCGGCCATCTTGAATTGAGTTGAAGCCTAAAGTTATTCAGTTGTATAAGTATTTAGAAATATTTTCTGAGTTTATTATACATTTTTTCATGAGATATTTTTGATAACAGACAAACGAGTGTAGACACATGCGATTATAAACAGGAGAATCGTTTGAGAACTGCAGTTCAAAACCACGTTAAAGGGTCACAGGAAGGAAGTTATGGCAAAATGAGGACTGGTTTAGAACGTCTGAACAGAATCTGTTTATCTAAGGACAACATAAAGCAGTGGTTTCGGTAGGGTCAGGACCACACTGGGTTCTCAAACACCAGGCTGAGGCAATGAAAAAAAAATAGTAACAATAGTATTTTTGAGTCAGTTTTTGTTTTCACAACAACTGATATTAATAAATTTACCTTTTTTTTTTTTACAATTCTGTGACTCTGTTCTGTCCAAGTGAGACACAACTAGGGATGCACGATATATCTGTATTAATATCTGTATTGGCCGATATTGATCATTTTTTAGTATATCAGTATCGGTCCAATATTTAAAACTGAGCCGATATTAACGTCCAATATTGATTTCCCAATTTTTATCTTTGTGTTTCTGTTTTGGGAGGGGAGATGGTTGGTTGAGCAGCATCTGTTTGATCATGATAGTGATAATGACGCTGCGTAGCCAGGAATAACTGAAGTAGAGCCATGTCAGAGGTCTGGTGGTTTATTTACAGTATCAAAACAAGACCCAAGTGTGTTTGTGCATGTATGTATAATATAATTTGTGTGTTTGTGTAATATTGGTAAATATCGGTTATCAGCCATAACAGCAATTCATATTGGAGCATCCCTAGATACAACCTTGAACAGTGTTTGTGTATCTCAGCTGGCAGTAAACCGGGTTAGGAGTCTGCTCCGCTTATATTTGTGGGACAGAATCTGAACATTTAAATAAATAAAACTGCTGATATAAATACTTGGTTGGACATGGAGATCAGTAAATACAGTATATTGATACCTACAGTTTTGGCATGTCGTTGCAAGGAGATTAAAGCTGCTGTAGACGTAGGTTTAATGTAGTTGTACTGGTTACAGTCACAACGTGTAGAAATAAATCATTGTGTGTTTGCTTTTAGCTTTGGGTGGAGGAGAGGATGCCTCTGGCCACATCTACGGACCACGGACACAACCTGCAGACAGTCCAGCTGCTCATCAAGAAGAACCAGGTACACAGCATACGACTTTAACAACACTTACTAACATCTGCAGTCACTGGATCACAACCTACAGCGCTGAAAATCCCACTTTAATCCCAGTAAATTCGTTTTTAAAGCAGCTTGAGGCCGAAATGTGTCAGTCAAAGTGAAAAGCAAAGTGTGGGAGGGAGGCCGTGAGGAGATTGCTACTTTTTAAAAAGAAAATGAATGAGTCGTAACTCAAGACAGGAAGGTGGTAGCTGCACCACATTTGAAGTCAACAAATGATATGTTCACAATTATTTAACCATTCCTTCATCTTTTCACTTCCCCACAAGACAAGTCAATCTGACTAATCAGGGTTTGGACAAGCTCCGCCCACACTGCCAAGAAACTTCCCCCCTATGTACTGCAAAGACCCCCTACTTATATTATTTTGGATGTAAAACATCAAAAAGGAACAGCCCCTTTGGGTGAAAACAACTAGTTTAAAACTACTGAGGACAAACGGGAACTAACAGCAGTGCAGTGTCTATAAAGTTCTTTGTCATTCTGACGTTTGCAGACTCTGCAGAAGGAGATCCAGGGCCACCAGCCTCGATACGACGACATCTTTGAGCGCAGCCAGCACATCCTGAGGGAGGGCAGCCCCACGGCCGAGCTGATCCGCCACCGGCTCACTGACCTCCAGTCTCTGTGGGAGCAGATCAAGAAGGAGACAGAGAAACGGCACTCTCGCCTGAGCGAGGCCCACGAGGCCCAGCAGTATTACTTTGATGCTGCCGAGGCCGAGGCGTGGATGAGCGAACAGGAGCTCTACATGATGTCAGAGGAGAAGGCCAAGGTGAGCAGAACAGCATTTCTTTAGAAGTTCCAGGTGTTGTGGAACAGAAGAAACAGAGGGTTTAATGTTATTTTAAAGTGCCTGTGACATGCATATTCTTCAAATACAAAAAGTCAAAGAATGCATCTTTATATTTAAGAAAGTTGGAATAATACACACAATTTTACATATTTTGTCCCATAACTGTCATATTT